CAGTGAGAGACCTATCCCCAACCCGAAGGCGCAGGGAAGCGACCCTCTCGTTCACCAGGGTAAACTCCAACACAGGGCGGCTAAGCTGGGGAGCTATGAGCAAGCCCACACCAGCCCATCGCCTCTCACCGCGGGCAACTCCAGAGTAGTAGAGAGTCTAGCCTCTCTCGAGGAGTAAAGTTCCAGAGCCCAAGCTGTGTGTGGAGGTGAGCCCGACTATATCTAGCCGGTACGTCTCAACCTCCTGCACACGCTTGCGCTCCTTCCCCACCAGCGAGGTGACATTCCATGTCACCAGGGCTAGTCTCCATGTCCCCCAGAGATTGGGTTGCCGGGGCCCTTGCCTTTGACCGCTGCCCGATCCAGTGTGCACCAGCCCCTTACGAATCCTCCTGCAGGTGATGGCCCCACAGGAAGACATCCCCACGTCGCCCGGCCGGGCCCCTTGGGAAGAGGCCCGGCCACTAGGTGCTCACATTCAAGCCTCAACCCCGGGCCTGGCTCCAGGGTGGGGCCCTGGCTGCGCCATACCAGGCGACGTCACGGGTTCTTGAACCGCTCTTAGTCTGACCCATCACCTAGGACCTGTTTGCCTTTGGAGACCCTACCAGGGGCATATAGCCCCCGACAACATAGCTCCTAGGATCACTCGGGTACTCAAACCCCTCCACCACAATAAGGTGGCGGTTCAAGGAGGGGTTGTATAGACTAATTTCTGTTTAGTTTTAGTTCACTGAAGTTTCAGTTTTAATAATTTTACTTAAGGATACAAGTGGTCAACGAGCAGTGTGAAAGTTAATGATCATGAAGATGAACATTTCAAGACTAAACTACACTAACATGTACATTTGTCTCAGACTGGCAAAGCCTGTTATTACCCCGAAGGCCAGACCACAGTGTGAATCTCTTACCAATTTACTTCAGGCCAGTTTATTTCCATCTCGACACTCTGCTGTTGCCTCCCCAGCAGAGGACATTGGTTCGTTGTCTCTTTGACAATAAAACAGATGATGATATCAACTTTCAAGTCCTCGCACAGGAACAATGATGACATTGTGATGATGTGATCACTATATTAACTCTACATTTTCCACCTGAGGACAAGACACTGAGTCTCTGTGCTACTGTCATTACTGTTAATAAAGACATTGTTGAATGAACAGTTTTAAATCAGTGTAAAATCACTTTAATTATTATACTATAAATCTGATAACCACCACAGATTTGGTTCAACCATCACAAAACTGGACTCATGGTGGTGATTTTCATACAAAAATGTGGAAAACCTTTTTTTCCGCCATAAGTGTTGATACAAATGTAGATACTGACGCTGTTATTTGCCTAAGACACATTAAAATAGACTGAAATTGGTCAGTGTTCTTTTCTTTGTTCTCTGGTTTGTTCTCCAAAATCAGATTTACATCTGGACACCAGGCAGGATCTAATTATCTGATGTTTGATTGATTTATTGTGTTCTGTTTGACCCCTGATCCACTCTGAGATCAAGCTGTGTTTTCTTCCTGTTGGCCCTCTTGGTTTCTTTTTCTTCTCCTGGTTTCCCCCTGGTTCTAACTACTGGTTTTCATCCTGGTTCTGTGAAGAACCAGTTCCACCTGCAGATGGTGACGGGGGTTCCAGAGTCCGGTCTGTCAGACTTGTTGCTGACGGTTCTGCAGCGGTCTGGTTGGAGAGAGGGTACTGCAGTTCTGTGTCGGGGCTGGGAGGAGGCTCGGGGTCTACTGCAGCTCCTGGATGGTCAGAGCGGTGCACCTTGGGATGGCACGGGTGGGCTCACCTGGCATCTGCGGGCCCTCCTAAACCTGACGCAGTCGGCCGACGATGACACTCAGATCCACGACTTCCTATCTCGACACTTCAGAAAAAAACGGCCGCCGCCAGCATCAGTGCTGCTGTTTGGGGCTGACCCTCAGTGTGCGGCAGCTGTTCTGGGGAGTGCCCAGGACCTGGGGCTGACCTTACCCATGGTGCACTGGGTGCTGGGCCAGCCACTCAGCCCCGATGCACTTCATGCCATTGGGCTGCCACTTGGCCTGCTGGCCTATGGACAGGTGGACAAGAAACCACTCGAATTCTACATCAGGGATGCTCTGCAGCTTGTCACCAGGGCCATTGCTGCAGCAACCATGGTGAGACCGGACCTGGCTCTGATCCAGAACATGGTGAACTGCTACAACAAACCCGACAAACACGAGATGACATTGTCAGGGCAATACCTGTCCAGGTAACAGTTGCTTTTCTCACTGAATCATCTACTTCAGCTCTTTAAGCTGTATGTTTTATGCTTTTCAAATATACTGATAAAGTTGAGTGACTTTTCAGTAAAATTCAAAGGTCACAGTGATTTATTATCTTATGTCTATGAATAACTTTTTGAATAAGGTTCAAAATGTAGTTTTAGGCTATTATTGTTTTTTGTTTTAATTACATTTAATGACTTAGGGAAAGCGATGAAGTCGATCTGTTTTGGCCTCTATATACCGTATATCTATATAATTGACTTGTATCGCGTCTTTCTATGCATTGAGGCACACTCGAAGGATTTTCACACTAGTTGCCCATTTACTCTTTTGCACTTACATAAACACACACTCTCGCACATTGGTGGGATAGCCACTGGGAGCCACTTGGGGTTCAGTGTCTTGCTCAAGGACACTACGACGTGCACTGGAGGTACCAGGAATCGAACCACAAACCCTGAGACATGATCTGCTCTATCTCCTGAGCCACAGCCACCCCAATATCTGAAGCTAATCACAGCCAGTTACAGATTTTATTCAGGACAGCTGAAAGGAACTTCTGTTCACTTCATTTGTATAGCACCAATTCACAACAATAGTCAGGTCTAGCCCTTACATTATTATAAGAAAAACCCAGCAAACCCCCCTGAGCAGCACTTGACCTCCAAAATAAAATCAATACTTGGAAAATTTAACAGTATGTTTCTTTAGGTGTTGCTTGATGTTACCATATTTGTTACTTCCAATGGAGATATTCAGGGAGGAAAACTCCCTTTAACGGAAGAAACCACCGACAGACCACGGCTCTTGGTGGGCAGCCTTCTGCCTCAACTGGTTGGGGTGAGTGGCTAGAGAGGACAGCATCAGAACACAACAAAAACAAAACAACAGACTGTTTGTAATGAGCACATGGTGTCTGTTCATTAAAAACATTGCTCTGGAGCCAGGGATACCTGCAGGAAGGGAGAGAAAGGACACCCAAACCAAACCTATCCTAGCCCTTTCTGCATGAATTATTCATGATTTTTCTTCCTCAGTGTTTATTATTACTCTCTGAGAATGAAAACAAAAAAACAGAAGTTTTTTTGAACAAATGGACAAATTAATTGTAATTCCCTCACAAAATAAAATCAATACTTGGAAAATTTAACAGTATGTTTCTTTAGGTGTTGCTTGATGTTACCATATTTGTTACCTCCAATGGAGATATTCAGCCTTTCTGGCTTTCTGTTGGTCATCTTGGATTTAGAAATTATTTTTGCACTTAGCAGTGTCTGACCAGTAGGTGGCAGAGTATGGGATGACATGCTAGCGTCCACTATGCTATGCAACTATCATCAGAACCCATGCACATACAAGAAAATAGCTTTTAATTAACTGTCCACTGTAGTAACCACTATGCATAAAAGGGCTAGAATTCCTGCCAATATTTCAGAGACACCACTACATGGGCATAAACAAAGGCCGTCCTGTCGACTAGAAACCCCTGGTTTGGTCAAATACACTCCTTTCATTCAGAAGTCAAATGTGATCTGATTTCATGTTAAATCTCCAATGTTTGTTTCTCTCCATGTTTTCCTCCTTTTCTTTTTTTCTGTTCTTCTTCTGTGGCAGATAATCTGTCCTCAGATGTTTTTATTGCTCAGCCTGAGTATAATTTTATTTACCACGAATGTGATTGATCTTTTTCTGTCAAAAAACTGAATACAACAGATAAACCCTTTATCCTATTCAAACCTGCAGCTCGCATTAATTCCTGCCCCTCAGTGTTTTTTTGCGTCTCTTTGCAGCTGCTACCCACCCAAAACTCCCAGTACCCTATAGACTGTGCTGCCCCCTGACCACCTAAATTATATACATCAAAAGTGAAGAGAAGTTATTCATAAGAACCTAATTAAAATTAAGACTACTCCTCTTATAGGACAAATCAAATGTGCACTATTAAATATCAGATCTCTCTCATCCAAATCTTTGTTAGTGAATGATTTGATAAGTGAATATCACATTGATTTATTGTCTTACTGAAACCTGGTTACAGCAGGAAGAATATGTCAGTCTAAATGAATCCACCCCACCTAGTCACAGTAACTGTCACAGGCCAAGGTGGAGGTGTGACAGCGATCTTTGACTCAAGCCTATTAATCAACCCTAGACCTAAACATAGTTATAACTCATTTAAAGCCTCACTCTGAGTCTCTCACACCCAAGCTGGAATAAAGCCAGTTATATGTGTTATTCTTTACCATCCACCTGCCCCTTATTCAGAGTTTTTAACTGAATTCTCAAGCTTTGTCTGATTTAGTGCTTGGTACAGATAAAATAATCAGAGTAGGCAACTTTAATATTCATGTAGATGGTGACAATGACAGCCTCAACAGTGCATTCTGTTCATTATTAGACTCAATTGGCTTTTCTCAAACTGTAAATAAACCCACTCAATGTTTTATTCACACTCTTGATCTTGTTCTGACGTATGGATTTGAAATCGAACACTTAATAGTTTTTCCCCAAAACCCTCTTCTGTCTGACCATTTTCTAATAACTTTTGAATTTACATTCCCATCGTGGCACCAGGACACCCTAGGCCGGAGGTCGACGATCGACTTTGTGGTTGTTTCATCAGACCTCCGGCCGTATGTCTTGGACACTCGGGTGAAGAGAGGGGCGGAGCTGTCAACTGATCACCACCTGGTGGTGAGCTGGATCCGATGGTGGGGGAAGAAACGGGACAGACTCGGCAGACCCAAATATATTGTGAGGGTCTGTTGGGAACGTTTAGCAAAACCCCCTGTCAGAGAGATCTTCAACTCTCACCTCCGGCAGAGCTTCGACCAGATCCCGAGGGAGACTGGAGACATTGAGTCCGAGTGGACCATGTTCTCCGCCTCCATTGCCGATGCAGTAGTTCGGAGCTGTGGCCGTAAGGTCTCCGGTGCCTGTCGCAGTGGCAATCCCCGAACCCGGTGGTGGACACCGGAAGTAAGGGATACCATCAAGCTGAAGAAGGAGACCTTTGGAGCCTGGTTGGCTTGTGGGACTTCTGAGGCAGTAGACGGGTACCGGCAGGCCAAGCAGACTGCAGCCCGGGTGGATGTGGAGGAAAAAGCTTGGGTCTGGGAGGAGTTCAGTGAGGCCATGAAAAGGGACTATCGAAGCCTCAAAGAAATTTGGCAGTGCCTTGCCAAAACTGTTTACAGTGGCGGTGGGCAGTTGTTGACCTCGACTGGGGACATCGTCAGACGGTGGAAGGAATACTTCGAGGATCTCCTCAACCTCGGCATCACGTCTTCCAGTGAGGAGGCAGAGGGAGAGGGCTCGGAGATGAACTTGTCCATCACCCAAGCTGAAGTCACCGAGGTAGTTGAGAAGCTTCTCGGTGGCAAAGCACTGGGGGTGGATGAGATCTGCCATGAGTATCTTAAGTCTCTGGATGTTGTGGGGCTGTCTTGGCTGACACGCCCCTGCAACATCATGTGGCAGCTGGG